TTTTTTCTAATTTGTAGCATGAAGAAAGTTTGTTGGCCTTACTTTGATCCTGATTTTGACAATCTCTCAGAAAGGATATTTGGTCCAACGTGAGTTATGATCTTTCACTCAACTCTTTATCAACAAAGAAGTTCAAGTTCCTTAGTTATTGTAAAAATTGAATCTCCTAATCTTATTTAACTGATTCTCAAGCTCATTTTCAATCACCATTAGTAAACAATTAATTAATTAGCTTGTCTAATTAACTTTTGTTGCATTGCAGTTGCCGAGTCTGCATTGACAACGAAAGCATGGAAGATTGCACTGTAGTGAAGGTATAATTAAATCGATCATACATATATAGAATTAGACATATAACTATAAGCAGCTAGGAAGAGAGTCTTAACCATGTCCTGAATTAATGTGTAATGGTGTAGGTGGACAGCGTGAACAAGCAGGGCCTTCTCCTTGAAGTGGTGCAAGTCTTAACAGAAATGAATCTCACAATTTCTAAAAGCTACATTTCCTCCGACGCTGGATGGTTCATGGATGGTATTTCCCTTCTTTTTCATCTAAAATAAATTAAATTCATTCACTACAATTTCTCCGTGGCCACAAAAAAGAAAAAGAAAAAGAAAATGTACATACGTTTACATAAATCTTAACTCTTTAATTATAACACTCTTCTTTTTTTCTTTTTCTTTTTTTTTTTTTTGCAGTATTTCATGTTAAAGATGAGTATGGCAACAAACTTACCAACCAAAATGTCATTAACTATATCCAGAAGGTAAATTCAATTTATTGATATCGCTATGAAATTAAAAATACTTTGAAAAATCATTTAGTTATTTTTCAAAATAGAATGTCAAAAATCACAATATTTTGAAATTAATTACAAATAATATATTAGAGGTTTTTACTCTTAGTCATTAAGTGGGTGAGACATAGTATTATAGATTAGATTTATTTGTAAGTCTCATCTTGTAAATTAATTTTAAAATGTAAGTTTAAAATTAACATTTAAAAAAAATTAATTTCACTTAATATATCAAATCGATATAGAATGTGTTTTACATAAAAACTATAGTAAAAGCACACTAATAAGAGATAAAATAAATAATTAAAAGACTAATATAGTCTCATTTCGTTTATATACTTAAAATTGATTATTTAAACATTTGAAGATTCATTAGTCTTGATTTTTAGTTTTCAATTTTTAAGCTAATACATTACTATTTTATTTTATTTATTCATTTATTTTGGTTATAGGCCATAGGTTCGACGAAGGAGAGTCCAAATTTGGCCAAGGTAAAGGCCTATGCCGACTATCTCTTCGATTCCGACTCGGAGCAGTACCCCAGCGAGCACACCGCCATCGAGATGACCGGTACGGATCGCCCTGGCCTCTTCTCTGAGATCTCCGCCGCGCTTTCTGATCTCCATTGCAACATAGTGGAGGCGCATGCCTGGAGCCATAACGACCGCCTAGCTTGCGTCGCCTACATCTCTGATCAGTCCACCGATAATCCAATCGACGATCCTCACCGCCTTGCTGCTATCGAGGGCCACCTAAATACCGTGCTGCGCGCCACCGCAGGTGGGACCACCGCCTGCACCCAACAGGAAGCGAAAACCGCCTTCGGGATTCTCGGGGCTGAGGGGACGATGACTGACGTGGAACGGAGGCTGCATCAGCTGATGCTTTCGGTTGGGGATTTTGATGGGCCGTGTGAACCCATGAGCACGTCGACGGTGGGTACTCCTGGGTCGGAAAGCGACGAAGAGGGGAGGAAAACCGTGGTGGTGATTGAGAATTGCGACGAGAAGGGGTACTCGATTGTTAGCATAGAGTGTAAGGATCGGCCTCGGCTCATGTTTGATACAGTTTGCACGCTTACAGATATGCAGTATGTGATTTTCCATGCTTCAATTAGTTCTCGTGATGGCTACGCATTTCAGGTACATTTCAGAATTATCTGTACCCTAAATTAGGGTTTGGATTTAGTCTTGACATTATTTCATTTTAATATATGTATAGCTATAGATATATATATATATATATTCTAAGATGTTTTGATATTTAAAATATTATGATTATTTATATAATATTATTCAAATATACTTATATAGTAAATATGATTGTATGATTTGAAATTTACGACTTTTTAAATAAAAAAAAAAGATGAATATAAAAAAATTATGTTATGAAAAGATGAAATTTGGTTAAATGTACATGATAATATATGGTGTAGAAGTCTAAATTTCTCCTATTTTGGCATTGCTAGCAATAGGTTATGAGTTACTAAAGTCACTATGTTTTTCTCTTGTGATAAAAGGATGGCTGCTGATGAACTCATTAAATTTGTACTATAGGAATACTTTATCCGGCATGTGGATGGATATACTTTGAGTACAGAAAGTGAGAAAGAACGTGTTATAAAATGCTTAGAGGCAGCTATAGAGCGCCGGGTTTGTGAGGTGAGTACTTAATTACTGTGTTTTCAATTATAATTTGAGGCTTCTTGAGGTTTCTTGACAACCAGTCTTTCCATCCTTTATTATAACAGGGAGTTAAGCTAGAGCTATGCGCAGACAATAGAGTTGGGTTACTATCGGATATAACCCGAGTTCTGAGGGAGAATGGGCTTACAGTGGTTCGAGCAGACATAGCAACTCATGGAGAGAAGTCTGTGAATGCATTCTACGTAAGGGACATTTCAGGCAATGACGCAGACATAGACATGGATTTTGTGGAATCAGTGAAGAAAGAGATGGGTCCGGTAGACTTGGAGGTCAAGAATAACACCACCAGGCCAAGCACAGATGATAGAACGTCCCAATCATTCTCTCTTGGAGGCATTCTCAAGTCCCACGTTGAACGCTTCTCCCATAACTTCATCTCTATCAAGTGATATACACATCATATTGTATATATGTCATGTAAATAGTATTAGAGAATGTACTTAAGATGAATTATTTCCCTAGGAATGTAAGGAAAGAAGGAGATGGGAGATGAAGCCGTTTTCTATCAATGGAACGGTTTGTTTTGTATAAAAAATAAACACAATTTGTATTTTGAATCTTTGAATTCTAAGGTTTGTAAATAAAGAGATTCAACGTCCCATTTCCTCTCAACTTAATGATGTTCTCTATCTCCATTCCAAGAAACTCAATTGAAAGTGTTTCCATGGTGAATTGGAATTTCAAACCAGCATGTTAATGACCAATGTGTGAACAACATCATCGAGTTCAATGTCAGTACTTCCTTAGCAGCTTGTCAGCAAGAGAATGATGAAGGATGTCCTCTGCATCCATCATTAGGGTGTTGTTCCTTTCTTCGTTTGAGATGGTTTGTATAATAAATGAAAAAAAAAAAAAAATGCTATTACAATATATGTCTCTATTGTCTATGGGAGTCTTCTATTAATTCTCCTAAGCCATATAGAGTGCAATATCATATGCAATACATCAAACCTCTGAGCATGTTGGTTCAACATAAAATGCTTTCTCACAGCCCTTAAACCCTCTTGAAGCCTCCGATATTTCTCTTCAGGAACGGCCATCAAAATCTCCTTCAATCTGGGAATCTCGGATGTTTCCACCTGGATCGAGAAAGCTTCCCATTGGAGCACATCACTAAATGGCAAGACATAATGCTCTGACAGAATAACCGGTACGCATTCAGCATATATAGCCTCAACAATTCTAGGACTGGCCACTTCGTACCCACTTGGACATAAACAGTATTTGGAGTTGAGCATGTATGTGTAATAGTCGCTGTCTTTGGGAAGGTATTCATAAACCTGCATGTCAGGGTCTCGGCCCTTCCACTGCTGGAGGAGGAGTGGGCGGATGGGGCCATGAAGTCCACCAGCAAAGAAGGAGAGACGGGGTCGAGAAGCGTTGGGTGGCGGTGGATGGAGGAGTTTGGGTGATATGTTACCACCATAGAGGGCGATTTCTGGCAGGCTTACGTCCTTTTGTGGTTTGAAGCCTTCCGAGGTGTTGGCATTACATAATACCCTGATGGAATTGTTGTAGAGGAGTGAGCTGCCCCGTGATGCACTGGGTCCCTGCAATGGAGATAAATATATACTTATTAGTGAAGGCACAAGATAAACATATATTTATTGCGCCCCTCAATTGTTGATGTTGATATGTCACGCACCAGCAAATGTAAATAAGCCGCAGACTCAAAGTAAAAGGAAAAAAAGCAAGCGAAATCAATTAAATCCGATCATAAAGAAGAGTGGGAATAAAAGATAAACTCACCCAATCATGGCAGGCAAGCATGAAGTGGTCAGCCCCCTGAGTTCTATTCCAAAATGGGTACTTGGTGGATATCACTCTCACATAATCAGAGACAAATTGCCTAAGGGGACTGTGGTTGTAGGAGAGAGGGGTGTAGAGGTACCGGACCATCCAAGTCGCACTAAAGGGCATGAAGAAAACATGTGCACGGCGTGGATCACTTGTTCGAAACCTCCTGAACCCATGTTCCATTTCACTTATGAATCTTCCTTCGATAGCATATATGTCTTTGCAAGGCCCCCTATGGACGATTGGTATGTCCCCTTCCATGTAAACATAGACCTTGAATCTCTTCTCCATTTCATCATAGCTCCTGTAAAATTTTGAAGTAAATCATAATAAGAATTAGCAAGTAAACGAGGCATCTGGTTTCATAGCAATAGAATTATAGAAGTTGATTGCAATAGAATAAGCAGTGGCTTGATAGAAACAAGTAGATGTTAAATTAACTTTACAAGTACATAATTTTAGAAACTATGACATTAAGGTACATACTAAAAAGTTCATGACATTAAGGTCAATAGATCGAAGTTCATACAAAAAAATTTAAGTATCAACCATGAGAACCATAAAGTTGTTTCATATAACAGTTTCACAATTAACAGTGTTTAATTTAATAATTAAGAATTATTATTATTACTATTAATTTATATATTTTTATTTATTAAATTTAATAACTATTAATCTTAAATTATTATACTAAATAATCCCATATCAAAAACACCCTCCACCTCCACTCCCATCCGATACACAATTACACATGAAACAGGAGAAGCCCAAATGACCTAAATAATCATCTAAATATTACTAAAAGAACATTTCACCTCAATATGTGGGGTTCAAATCCACCTTTTTCCCTTCCATCTCCCTCTAATTGCCCATGTTCAAAAAAAGAAAAAAAAGTTACACACGAAAAAAGTCCTTTTCCTTTTTGTAGGACAACTTTGGCTTTTTGATAAAATGAATTTATCTATTTCGTCTCTTATTAGTTGATGCAGGACATTTTTGTCTTCCTATTATAGGAGACAAAGAGAGCCCCCATTGATTACCAGTCCATTTCTTTTCCCTTTTTGTACGTATAATGCAATGTCAACATTACAAATAAGTAGCTGCGCCGCTTTTTCAGTAGTTGCTATTATATCGATGGTAACAGTACCATCGAGTATCAACTACATGAACTACTGTACAGAAGAAATGAGTGAAGTTGAGTGCGCATTTTCATTTACTTCTTTGGCGTCATTTTGAAGATTTCTTCCTTTGTGTAATTTTTTCATTTGCTTCTTTTAGCGCACAGAAAATGATAGTGGGATTGTATATACATACAGTTTCTATTCCTTAGAAGCAAAGCAGTTCAAAAGCACTTTTCAAGAATTTAAATAATTACTAATTAATTAATAACTCTTTCTCCTTTTTTTTTTTTTGAACTTTCTGGAATGAAAAACTCTCACCGGGAAAATGCACGGGGATTTCGGTAGACTTGTACGGCCGAAAGATCGCTTTCCTTTTCAAATCGGGCGGTCTCCGCAGAGACATTTCGTCCCAAAACCGCCATGCGAATAGAAGCTCTAGCTCTAGCTAGTTCTTCTTCTCTGCTCAGTCTCTTCCATTTTCTCTGTGACATTATCACAAAAATCAAAGAGTAAGTTGAACATGAACACATCGGATTACCTGTTTGGCACATCAATTTTAAGGTAATTTCAAATTCAAAAAGTGCTTATAAAAGGAAATCAATCGGCAAATCGAATCGTCCTCTATTCTTAATGACGTTAGTTAATACTGACAGAGAATGATAGTAGTTATTGATTCATGCAATTAATACTCAAATAGAATCCGGAAATGCTTAAAATATGATAATCAGTTTCTATTAATTAATTGATACCTTTTTTTTAAGGAAATGAATTAATACACAGCTAATTCTGACAGAGAATGATACCAAAATCTCAGTTATGAAACAATGCATTTTAGAACAAAATTAAATTCAATTTCTCGATCAGCTATTTGTGCAAAACTTCGCCGCTCAAAAATTAAGAAAAAATTTGAATTCAAGTATATCTGAGAAGATAGAGACCTCAACGGAAAAAGGAAAACGGAGATACAGATTTATCCAAAGAAAGAACCAAAGAGAAGGAGAGAGGAAAGAAAATACGATAACGGCGCCGGTTGAGTTTCTGGATCGGTTGGTGTGAAGAAGAACCTTGGATCCACCGGAAATGGCTTTGATGTGGTCAGGAGTGCTGGGAATGATTCTCTGCAACTCTACCGTCGGTAGGGAGAATTCTGATTTTGAATCGGCGAAGCCCGTGATGGAGTAATTCGGATCAGACACCATGAAAACCAAGACGAGCGAAATCACCGTCAACAGAGAAGCTAAAGCAGAGAGTGCAAATATACGACTGTCGATCTCCATTTCCGAACTCTCCTCTTCCATGTGCTCCTGCTTTCTCTCACCAACTTGGTGTTTGGTTACTGAGAATTTGGATTTTTTTGGGGGAAAATTGAGAGGGGAGAATGAAGAAGAGGTGGTGCCAGTAATGAAGAGTGACAGAATCGCTTGAGGCTGGCAATTTAAATAGAGGGGATAGAGCGTGAGGAAGAGAAAATTACCTTTTTAGCCCTGTAAAACCGACCGCTTACTGCAAATTTTCCCTCCAAAATGAGAGGGGCAAAAGTTGCTAACGTGCGCACATCTTCTGTCATTGGTCTTAGACTTTCTTTTTCTTTTATAAGAAGGAATCACTGGATTTGTAACTTGTTTTGGGTTTGGTAATGGTTGAGGAGTTTGTTTCTCATCTTGCTTCTATAGTTTTTACTTTGTGTTTAAAAATTTAGAATAATTATGATTAGTTTTTTAAAAATATTTATTTATTTATTTGATATCATCGTATTAATATAGATATTAGTGTATATGAGTTCCAACTAAAAAAAAAATAGAGTTTTAATTTATATTTAGAAAGTAAAATCTCAATTTAAAATTTAAAAATCTACAATATTAAGTATTGATAGTTAAAATGAGAAACTAATTATATATTCGAATATAATCAATTTTCAAATTTAAATATCAATATTTGATAAAATAAATTTTTAATTTTTAAATTAAATTTTAATTAAATAAAACAACATAATTTAAAATTAAGATTCTAATTTATTTTAAAAATCAAGAATGATATATATATACTTTTTTTCATTAACATATATAGATAATTATTGTAAGAATTCATTATAAACTAGAACAAAAATGCATTAGATAAAAATTCATATCCATTGTATAAAAGGACGGTTAAAAAATAGTGTAACTGAATCATTATCATGCAAAAAGGTATTCTTCATATATATATTGTTTCGTATTTAAAATTCGTACTCTTATTTATCTTTTTTAGTTTTGTAACCTTATAAACCATCGTTACAGTTATGACTATTATTAATTTCGTTAAGATCATCGAAGTTATTAAATTTTAATTTTAATTTAACTATTAAAAATAGTTAATAATTAATAAAATAATTATATTTATAATTATTTAATAAATTAAAATAAATTATAAACAAATATTTTTAAGGGTGAATCTCATGGGTGGTCACCCAACTTTATTAAAATCAACGTTTTGGTCACTCAACTTCTAATTCTAACAAAATGGTCACCTAACTTCTTAAGTTGTCCAACCGTTAGTCATCCATAGTTAATATTAACTGAAAATGTTAAATTGCCATTAAGGTGGCTAAGTTGAATGCCACGGGGATCTAACGTGCCATTACAAGCACTAAAAATGTAAAAATTGTAATCCAAATCCCTAAAATTTTAGCTTTTTTTTAACTCCTCTAATTTAAGCAAATATAGTGAATGAAAATAATATTAAGAAAATTCAGAATAAATTACCAAATCACTATGATCTGTTGGCTGCGTCTATAATGTGAAACTTCTTTGGGACAGATTTCTAAAATAGAGGGAAACTAAATTTGCTAAGAAACCCATTTTCTAACTTACCTAATAATAGACAAAATGAATGAAAATGGACATTGAGAAAACTCAGAATAAATTACCAAACTAGTATGATCTAGTTGGCCATATTTGTAACATGAAACTTCTCTAAGACTAGTGTCAACAAAATTGGCACAACACAAATGATCAAAACTCTTACAGACATAACATTATATTTCCTGTTTGAAAATAAAAATAATGATGTTGTATAGTTATATTGATAATTTTAAAATATAATCAAAGAAACAAAAGGTATAAGTTGAAAATAAACAAACTAGCATGAAAAAGGACCTTAAGATCATCATGTGAATAATCATTAAAAAGATAAAATTTTAGGAATTTAGATTACAATTTTCACGTTTTTAATGCTAATGAGTGCTTGTAATGCCAGGTCGGATGACATGGCATTTAAGTTAGCCACCTTAACGGCAATTTAACATTTTTAGTTAATATTAACTATGGGTGACTAACGGTTGGACAACTTAAGAAGTTAGGTGATCATTTTGTTAGGTTTAGAAGTTGAGTGATGAAAACGTTGATTTTAATAAAGTTAGGTGACCACCCATGA